ACAGTGGCCGCTCCCGGCCACCGCAGCCTCGACCTGCTGGGCTCCGGCGATCCTTCCGCCTCAGCCTTCCAGGTAGCCGAAATTACAGGCATGCGCTACCACGCCCGGCTAATATTTTGATTTATTGTAGAGATGAGGTCTCGCTGCCCAAGTGAGTCTCGAACCCACGGGCTCAGGCAATCCACTCACCTCCGCCTCCCAAAGGCGCAGGATTACAGGCTGAGCCACCGAGCCCGGCTAGTATTTTGCATTTTAACTACTCTTGTGCGTATTGGTGATTTTAATTTGTAGTTTTCTGATGACTAAATGTATTGAGCATCTTGTCATGTGCCATTTATGTCTCTTCATATATCTTCATTTTGCAACGTCTGTTCAAATCTTTTTCTTATTTGCTTTTTTTTTTTTTTTTGAGTTGGGGTCTCACTCTGTCACCCAGGCTAGAGTGCAGTGGCATGCTCACGGCCACCACAGCCTTGACCTGCTGAACTCAGGTGATCCTCCTGCCTCAGCCTTCCAAGTAGCTGGAATCACAGGCACGTGCCACCATGCCCAGTTAATTTTTTGATTTATTGTAAAGACGAGGTCTCACCAAGTTGCCCAGGTTGGTCTCAAACTCCTGAACTCAGGCAATTCTCTCAGCTCTGCCTCCCAAAGTGTTGGAATTACAGGCGTGAGCCACCACACCAGGCTTTCATTTTATTAATGACACCTTTTGAAAAGCAGAATATGTTAATCCTGATGAAGTTTAATTTATCAAAGTAATTGTATGTTAGTGTTTCATGTGTCTATGAAATTTTTGCCTAATCCAAAATTGTGAAGATTTCTTTTCTTTTCTTTTCTTTTTTTTGAGTCAGAGTGTCACTCTGTCATGTTGGAGTGCAGTGGCACGCTCACAGCCACCACAGCCTCAACCTGCTGGGCTCGCCTGGCTAAAGCCTACATCACCTGGTATTCCCAGGTGGTCTCCCAACCGAGTACTAACCAGGTCCAACCCTGCTTAGCTTCCAAGATCAGAAGACTTTGGGTACCTTCAGGGTAGTATGGTTGCATGAAGATTTCTTCTACATTTTGTTTTAAAGGATTTACAATTTTAGTTTTTATATTCAAGTCTAGGGTCCATTTCAAGTTGACTTTTTTGTACAGTGTGAGACCAAGATTGAGGTGTTTTTTTTTTCCCCATGTGGATATTTAGTTGTCCAACACTATTAAAAGAGTATCCTTTCCCCCACAGACTTATCTCATCTTTGATCATACACATATGGGTCTATTTCTGGACTCTATTCTAGTCCATTGGTCTATTTGTCTACCCCAACAGCATGCCACACTGCACAGATTACTGTAGTTTTATGATAAGTCAATAAAATCAAGTAATCTTCAACGTAACTCTCTTAAAAGATGCAGCTGGCCATGGTGGCTCATGCCTATAATCCCAGCACTTTGGGAGGCCGAGGTGAGAGATTGCCTGAGCCCAGGGATTGGAGACTAGCCTGGGCAACTTGGTGAGACCTCATCTCTACAATAAATCAAAAATTAGCCGGGTGTGGTGGTGCACGCCTGTAGTTCCGGCTACTCGGAAGGCTGAGGCGGGAGGATCGCCGGAGCCCAGCAGGTCGAGGCTGTGGTGGCCGGGAG